GTTAACACTTGTCCCTTTCGGCCCAAGCTCCCACAAGTATACTTATGATGGGGATGCAATGTGGTGCTAGCTTACTACTCCATCTTGATGGGGGGGGGGGGGGGGGGGGGGGGCCGCGGTGGTGTGGGAGGAGCGGGTGGAATAAAGTGATGGGTATTTCTTGTTTTGTTTATCTCTTTATTGGTTTATTTCTTTGCATTGCTTTAGCTTTACCTGTAGTTGGTGGAGATTGGCTGTTGGGGGAAAGATGGCGACCCGCTATCCCCTGAACAGATAGATGGGACGGAAAATATCTAGGTGATGTTTTCTTCGTGTATTGCGGGTGACATTTGATAACATCGCACAGGACAGGACAGGACAGTACAGGACAGTACAGTATGGTATGTATGGTATGGCCCAGGTAGGGAATTGGCGTATTACCAGTGTATTACAGCGAACGTACGGCGCTTAATGGTGCCCAACTTGGAAATAGGCATCCTCACCCCCGAAGATACCTCGTCCGCTACGTAACTATTGCTTGGAGTCGCGTACCTCTCTCTCTACCTTAGGTTCCTCTGCCTCTGCAACCGCATGTATTTTTCTCTTCCTCTGCTGGATGTCCCTCTGGCTTTTTGTTTCTGTCTCTTCTTTTCATCATCTTCTTTTCTTCTGGTTTCTGCTTTTTACTTTTCTTCGTTCTTTTTAACCGTCCTCGTACTGCCTGATCATCCCTGCCCTTGGGAACTTAGACTCTTCTGCAACAGCAGAGATACCCCCCGTCCAGTCTATATCTTCTATCTGACTATTCCCTCTGTCATACAACCCCGGCCGGGAAAAGCTCAGCAGTACAGACATAATACATGCATACATACCTGCATCACGCACTGGCAGCATAAGCACCAAGAAATGATAATAAATAACAATACTAAAACGCAACGACAGGATGAATCAACTATCCCCCCGCTTCTGTACAACTAATAACCACCCACGCTGTTCGGATATCCATCCCCGTCACCACTCCCCATCGACACCTCATCTTTTGCCAGCTCCACCACCACCGCACGCCCAAGGCTTTTTCAGCTATATAAACCCACGAAATTAACCCCCCGCCCCCAGGTGGACAAACGTCATAACGCCATGGCCCAGACTACTAGCAGCCCTGCCAATGCCGATATTGGCTCCTCCTCATCCAGCTTCCCGCATGAAGCCCTGCCTGCTGGCCCTGCTTCCTCCCCTCCTCATAGTGCGGCTACCAACAATAATAATGCATTCCAACGCCATACCAATGCCACAAGCACCTCCAGCGTAATCAGCAATGGAAATCACAACAATACCTGCCACACCCATAACCATCGCCCATCCCAGCTACCAGACACATACGCAGCCCTGACATCCTCCATCGCCTCATTCCTAGCTGTCAGCATTCACCAAATTCTCTACCTCCGCGCTATCTACCCGCAATCCACTTTCCTGCCCGTCCGCCATTTCAACCGACCCGTCAGACAATCAAGACATCCCCGCGTCTGCACCTGGATCACAGACGCCTGTGCCGCCGTCGAGGCCCAGCTGCTGAAATGCACCATCGCCGCTGTCTCCATCGTTATACTCTCCTCAAGCAACAATCAGCCACTTGAAAGGTATACCTTCGACATGACACAAATACCGGAGGTGCCACCCGGTGACATCCATACTCCATTTGACAACGATAACAATAACTTTATAGCATCTGAGGACCCCAAAAATCAACAACAGCAGCAGCAGCAGCAGCAATCTACCAAAACCCAAACCCATATCCCACCCATCGAACTCGAGGCCCAATTCCGCGCAGTGCTCGCCCGCCTCGCCTCCGCATGCGCACGATTAACACCCCTCCCCCGCAACGAAGAGTACATCCCAACACTCCACATTGTCTTGCGCAACACTGCAGATGCCCCTGCCGGCATCTCAAACGCAGACCACCTATGGATTGCTGCTGAGCCATCCAAATTAGACCTAAACGGTAACTGTAATAGTAACAATACTGCAAACGGATGCGAAAATTCTCTCAGTGGTAAATGTGCTGTTGGTGGGGTAGGGGAATTCGACAGGGCCGGATCCAGGGGTCGAGCGAAGACTGTACCTGTTCGGACAGTGGATGCTGGCGAGTTGAAGATGGAAGTTTGGGTGGAGGAGGCGAAGGGGAAGTTTGCGGAGTTGAACCGTATTCGGGCGGTCCACGAGAGCTAGATTTTGATTACATGCGGAAATGGGAATGGTGCATTTTTGCTGATTGATTGATTGATTATTATCTGTTTTGACTGGGATCTCTTTTCTTTTCTTTTCTTTTATTGAATTCTCTGATCAAATATCAAGGGTGGATCTAGGTAATGAAATGTGCACCTTTTTACCGCCAGGATCCCTCTCCCTCTCCCCCCCCCCTTTTTGTGTAGTTTTCTAACTACCAAGAGGATTCATTTGGCTTTTCGCCTTTTCCTCACTCTCTGTTTCAGTGTTATTTTCCAAAGTTATTCTCAGGCAGCCTAGGTGAGACGAAATACCGCGCTTCAGAAGGAATTGGGTAACGAGTTTCTCTTCTTCATTTATCACTAGTTAACTAACTTCTCATCCATTTTTTACTCTAGTTGTTACTCGCACTGTGTCGTTTTGCATTTTATCTATGCTCTCACAATCTCAACTTAGCTAGGAACTTATCGAGTCCGTGTTCTAACCCCAAAGGAAACGAGCATCTGATCAGATATGCATATTTTTATTTCTATTATGGATAAACCACACATGGGCAACATTCAAGGTTGCCTCTGATCGCTCCGGATTAAGTTTCATCCGGCTAGTTAATCCAGATATTGAGTATCCTTTATCCTGGTATGCCCCACAGATGCATTCTCAACCTGCAAGTTGATCATGTTCCAGAGGCTCGACTGGACTGTACTTTGACTGGTCTTAGCAAATTCACCTGAGAAACTCGCCATATGCAGCTTGCTGGATTGTCTATTGTAATGAGTTACATCAAGGATATGTCTCTTGCAGACATTCTCAGAGAATTAGCATCTGAAGGTCTTGCAGTTCTAATTCATGAATCATGAATAAGTGAATGTGATCTAAGCAATCTATTCTGATTAACTTGAATGTACCTCACTTAAACAAATTATAAAGGAAATAAAAAGAAAACATAACTCTGTATTATTTAATGTTGCTGTGTGTTTTTCACACTTAAGGGGAAAAAAATACTAGCAAGAGGAAGGGGAAGAATGTTGAGAAAATTCAGAATCATTGGAGACACAAAAGAAAGAAGGAGAATTAGATGACATGCAAAGGCAAATACAACACCTCACTCTGCATATATGTGCCAATCAAAGACTAAACCACTGATTAAACACCACTGCGTGAAATTTAGCTTACTTGAGGTCGAGGTATCTTGTCAGACAGAGAAATAATGAGAAAGATCACAAGTGTTAAGAAAGAAAAAGAAAATCGGAATCCATTGTAAACTAAAAGAAAAGAAGGTCAGAATGACATGCGAAGATAAAATGGCAAGCAGAGTATCTCGCTCTGCAAATCTGGGTAAATCAAGGGCAAAATAGTGATTAAACACCTTAAGGTGGATTCAACTTATTCAATGTTAAGGGATCTTGTACAGGCTGGGAAAGAAGGAGAAAGAGGAGAGAATACGGGTGAAGAACGAATATAGAAAGAGAGAAATGAAGAAAGGATAAAACAAGATAAAGGGGGGAAAGGGGAGCATAATTAAGAATATTATAGATGAAAAGAAGACGAGAACAGAAAATGACGTGGAGAAGGTATATAGGATAACTCCGCAAATATGTGCAAACAAAATGCAAACTATCAATTCAAATATCTCAGGAAAATTAACAAACTTGAGGTTAAGGGATCATGTACGGAGAGAAGGGGGAAAGAAAGGGGCAAAGGGAACTAGGGTCAAAAGTGGGCGGGGTCAAACAAACACGCTAACGTCACAAAAAGTTCAAAAAGAAGAGCCACAAGAGAGGAGAGTTTAAACGTCTTGCTTGCTTATGAGAGTATGACAACGAAACTCGAGAAACAGTAAAACCACCCAATCGCAGAAAATAAAATCTTAACACGCCGTTCAAAATGCCCACCAGAAGCGGTAAAAGGAGGAGGAGAGGAGAAGAGAGGAGAGGAGAGTTACGCAGAAAACGTACGGCCAAATTTTCATCGACATTCCTCCTGGAGATCCAGGGCTTCAAGAGGGTCGCGCGTATAACTTAGATATTGTTGGGACCGTCCAGGGTAGGGTTGGGGCCGGGACGGGGCGGGAGAACCTGGACAGGTTCAGTTCATTTTGCTTTGTTGTAAGTGTAATTTCGTAGTGGATGTGGCACATAGTAAGGGTCTGTCGCTGCCCGATACGGCAGATTCCGAAGGGGTGCTTGAGGGAACTGTTGGGCCTGGGGAGGGTGGTTGGGGTTGGGGTTGCATTCCGTCTTGAAGCTGTTGAGCAATTGTTCGGGGCGATTGAGCATGGAACGAATGCTGGAGAGGTTCTTCATCTGCGTCCGGGAACTCCGGGCGGCGCATGGGGGCAAATTTAACATAGAATGGATCGAAAGGAGGTTGGTAAACTAGAGGATGCTGGTGCTGGGGCTGATTAGGCACCTGTTGCCCTATCGCAACATCCCGGGGTGACTTGGCCTAAACGCGGCGGATGGTTGTGGGTGAACTGTCCTTCGTAATTAAGTTGGGGTTGGTTCTCTTGACGGTTGGTTGGGTCCATTTTGGGTTGTGGATTTGCCGGG